TATATATATATATATATATATATATATATATATATATATATATATAAGTTTTCATCCAATCTATTCTCTTATAAAGCATAAGATGCTCCCGAAGATACGCAAAAAACTTCAATTCTTTCAGAGTGATCGATCAATAATTCATAATAATTAATCTCAGTTTCAGCATACGATGAGTGGAACGAACCAAAAAGTGAAAAACATTTTATATTTGTCGACAATAATCAAAGAAGTCAGTAATTGTCACATCATTCCACCAACTAATCGTTCTTGCGAACAGTTATTCCAGGAACCTTTATGTTTAGTTTGAAACTCTACAAACTCCACAATGTTCGAAGACAGATTGGATTAGACACACACACACACACACACACACACTACACATACACATACACACACACACACACACACACACACATACACATACACACACATATACACACACACACACACACACACATACGCATACGCACATGCACACGCATGTACAAAGACACACATACGCGTACGGAAAAACGTGGAGTGGTACACCGCAAAGAAACAAACGTAAATATATACAGTAAGGTACATGAACGTGAGTATAACCGCGTTTACCTAACAACGTCCATAGCATTGTATGGATGGATACGGAACGTCTGTTACTAATCGATATAGGAAACATGTGGCTTATAGCAAAGCTGTTCGTTGTTAAGCTGCAAAGGATAATAAGGCGTAATATTTCCCAACAAGAGATGTGGCCACTAGCCAAGTTGTCCTTTTGCTAAGCCACTAAGGATATTTTCCAATGAAAGAGAAGATGAAGATCACCGCGTTAAACACTTGCACACCTGATCAGAAGTATCCATTTATATCTGTAATCAAATAAAAAAGCCACAATAAGTGTCAACACAAAGTGGAACAAATTCAAGACTGTCACCTTCTCCTCTTCAGTCTGTCATTTCGATACTTTCACCAACTGTTTACATTCAATTTTGATAATATTTATCAATTTCTTCGACTATCTAGCACCACTGTCTATCGTAATTCTCAATAATCTCTGTCGTTTCTCAACTTATGACACTCTTTTTTGCATACAATAGGTAATACATGTTGAAAATTTAGATTCGTTGTTAAAGAAAAAAAAAGTGAATAATTTTTTTTCTTTTTTGCTTAATTTTCACGATGACTCATCGATAAATGTATATTTTAGCAAGTATTTTTGATTGAAAAAGATTTTTTCCCTTTTTTTTCTTTTTTTTTAAAGTGAAAAATCAAAATTGCACTAAGTTCAATCGAATAGTACCATTTTTTTAATTTAAATTTTGATAGTAACCAACAAAATTTATAATAAATCAATAAAATTCCGAAAAAAATTAAATTTGTGACAGTTTATGATAGAAATGAATACATCTATCGTATCGAAAATATTGAATTCTAACAAATTAGTTGATCCTGTTGTAGATCATTCGTTGATAAACTCATCAAATCATCATTAATTTGATTCTATTAAAATTTCACTAAAGTCATCGATATTATTACTACTCCTTTTACTACTAATATCACCAGTCAACAATGAGTAAATGATAAGGGACATGTAAGTGATTATTTAATTAATCGTATCATCTCTGATTGTATAACTGGATGGAAGATCAAATGAAATGAAGTGGAATGGAATGAAATGGAATGTAATGGAATAGAATGAAATGGAATGGAGTGGAATGAGATGGAATGGAATGGAATGGAATGGGATGAAATGGAATGGAATGGAATTGGATGGAATGGAATGGAATGAGATGGAATGGAATGAGATGGAATGGAATGGAATGGGATATACTTTAAGGGGATGAATTTTAAAACAAGCAGTAAAAAGTTGGATTTCGCTTCATGGCTTGAAAAAAGCAACAAGGATTAAATACATTTTTTTTGTTCCACTTCAAAGTAATTTTTCTTTTTTCATTTTTTCCTCTTCTTTATTTTTTAGAAAATTTTTCCTTTTTGCTTCTCTCTAAAGTGATTTAATGGAGAAATTTAAGCATATATTAGTTAATTATAACAATTAATTGTTAGAAATGTAAACAGAAACACTGAAAAGTTTTGCAAATAATTCATTAAATTGATTATCAATTATTTCAAATTATTATCAGTTATTAGCTATCATTTTGATTTCCTTTCCATAATTGTACCAAAGAAAAAAAACCTAGAAAAATAATCAAAGAAAAAAAAATGAATAAAAATTGGTTCTCAAATTGTTATTGTTTTATATACGTGCTCTATTATACAACAAGTAGTATGATTATAAATATGAAACTAAAAAAAAAAAAAACTA